GTGTAGGGATTGTAATTCTTCCCTCTGATCTTGTAAACTGACTTAGAAAGTTAAGTTGTTGGAGCTTATTGGAAAAACACAATACTGTATACAAAAGTAGCTTAGAGCTGAATCAAAACATTTAGTAAAAGTTCTCAAGCTTCAAGTGCGAATACATACTGTAATTTTAGAGAAGTACTTAACAACAGACTAAGTAGGGGTTTTTTAACAAATTTTTTTCCTTTTTTAAAATGTCTAGCAGGATGTCTTGCTAGTTTCTTTAAATACTCCTACCCTTACTAGTCTGAGTTTAAAAATTGTCTGAAATATTACTTCAAACTTGAATTCATTATTATGTGATTATAACAAATATTGTATCACTGCTATTCCCTTTTTTTGTCCAAGTGGAAGAAGTAATCCTTTTTTGACTTATTTTTGGATTGTATAAAAGTGAAAATGCCATCTGCATGGATGTATGAAAATACAGATGCCTACATCCTATGAATAAGAACAGAAGTTATGCTTAAACCTGGGAGTTTTAGGAAGCTGTCTGCCAATTTCTTTCCTTATGAAGATAGACAACATGTAACTGCTCATTCAAGTTGTCTTCCTGTGTTTTTATACAGTCTGTCACCTTCTGTCATGCATCTACCATTCTCTTTTATTATTTTGTGTTTTAGCATAGTTTTACATGCTTTCCATATTCTGTCTGTTGTACCACGTTCTTCTGCATCTCTACTATACCTGGTCCATCCACATTTCTCTGGAGTTTTAGAGCTTGCTGGCCTGTTATCTCTGAGTTTGTGCCTTTCTGTATCTCCCTGTTGTTTATCTAGCCTTCATAATGACAGATGAGCAGTAATTGTCACTGCCAGATTTTGGCTTTTGTTCTTCTGAAAGCAGCAGGAGGCAGTGACTGTTTTTTTTGCTGAGTAGTCTTGCATTATTTTAGAAGAACTAAGAATTTGGGGATTGTAAGGTAGATTCAGCAGCTTTGGCAACAAAAGAGGTTATAGGTATTTGGCAAGGGAAAGACTTCACAATTGAAGGCAGAAGTTAGAAATGTAAACTTTTGGGGTTTGTGCTAAATAGCTTGCAAGGGAATAAAAAAGCCTCCTCTGTCTTTATACAAAGGTATACATACCCCCTTCTCTCCCACTCCCTGAAGAAAATGGTGGTAAAAGCATGTAAAATCAGTGCGCTTTTCAAGTTTTCTTTTATGTCTCTGTCTCTCAGAACTTCAAGTCAAGTCCTCGAGGTAATTCGTAGGCATGCGGCCTAGCTGTTGCTGCAAGGATTTGGCGTTACATTTTTCCTGTGGCTGTCTCTAACATGAAAAGAGCCTGTACTTGGGTAGAGGAACTCAGAACTCGTTATCATCTCTCTAGAGTGTTTTTATAACAGTGTGCATATTGTGATGGTTAGGCATTCATTTTCTCTCTTGGCACATGCGGAGACCCTGGTGCAGGAGAACAGTAACTTGCTTGTACATCAAGCCCCTGGTAAAGGTCATGTAGAACTGAGTTATTTCAGTGACATGTTTCTCGGTGAGTTGCACCACACCTGGCTTTCATATTTAAGTTTTGTGAGCTCTTTATTATATAAAGATATGAGACATTTGTGTACAATCACTTAAATTATCATGTCAAAAGGCAAAAAAAAAAGTTTGAATGTGGAGAATAAAGTTATAGCCATGGTGCTGTCCTTTAAAAGCCCTGTCTGTGTGTATTAGGAAAGAAGTTTATTCTAACTTTGAAATATAGTAAATCTCAGTATTACATATTTGATCTTAACAGCTAAGCCTCAGATGTCAGGAGCTAATGATTCAACAGTTTTGTTAGAATGTAACACATTTAGGTGGTTTGAGTACTAAAAAGCAGCCTGGTCAGTTTGCTATGTTCTTGAGGTCAAAGGACTTTTGAGGTTCTCCAGAATGGAATTGTTACACCTTTTTATTGGAAGAGGTGCAAAATTCTATTGGAGTCAGGAGCTGAGCACGGTCACGTAGAAGGGCTTGGGTAAACCTGGGAATTGAGCCCAGCGTTAGGATCATTACTGCAGAACAACTGTTCCTTCTTTCAGACATTGTTGTTTCAGTGCAGTGAAATTTCATGTAAGAAAAGGGTGATATTCAGCAAGACTTAAAAAAGAAATGGTTGTGCATTTCAAGAGGGTATTAGATACACAGAATAAACATGAAGACTAAAGAAAAACTTATTAAATGCCCTTTTAAAGCTAATAAAATGCTGAAATACAGGTTTAATGCATGTTTTTTGTTTCATCAATGCGTGGATTTGGTATTTGCAGTTATCCGTGTCTGATTATGAATTAACAAATGGAAGGAAGTGGAGACGTCAGTGCTACAGGGTTGTATGTTTCAGTAGGGTATCATTTTACCTATTTTAACTTTATTGTGATTTAAATGTCACTTATGTACATAAATCTTTTTGCCAAAATTATGAAGTTGGCAATAGAAATTTAGTGGAAGTCGCCTGTCACCACCTAACCCGAATGTTCAGCACAGCCAATGCCAAATGCAGAATGTTTGAACTTGTAATGATTGGGTTTTAGTAAATTTTGTTAAATCCAGTCTTTTATAAATACCTTCTGTTGAGGTAAGGGGCTTTTTGTTAAACTTAAGAACTGTCATTAGATTTTAGTATTTAAAAGTACCCTTTGAAAAAAGTACCTTTCTCTTCTGACCAGTTCAAAAGGATCATCTGTTTGTTAAGGTCACTCAGACATCAGTTTGGTCCTGTCTGCTTGCCTATTAATTCAGATTTCCCAAGTTCACTGTAAATGCAGAATTACAAATATTGTTAATACATCTTTCAAACTTTTTGTTGCATCAATTTGCAAATTATAAGAAGATGTGAAATGAAGTGTTTCTTTCTTTACTAGAGCACTTTC